CAATAATCAGTGATAAGCTCCAAGTCTTTGAGATTGGAAGGTCTTCTTAACTAACATTTAGCTCTCTCCGTTGATTATCTGTCAAAGTCTGGGTCACTCCAAAAAGAACCATGCTGGTAAAATTAAAAGATAACTAAACCTATCTCTGCAAAAAAATGTTCATTTTTATAAATAAAGTAAAAGAAAAACTGTTGTTGGTTGTATTCATAAAATGATAGAGATTCTTAGTTTTGATCAATTTTGTGAAATGAAATAAGACACTGATCTTTCAAACATGAACTGACCAAGGGAAAATTGGTTAATTCTAATTTCTGGTCTTTCTGTCTTTAACAGAAATATGGCAGATTTAATTATTTATTTGAGTTTCTAAAATGAGGAGAAAAACGATTTAGATGTGTGCTGGTTGACATGGTCAGTAACTACAAAACTGAGTAACTGAGTAACACTGGTTTTCTAACTTTCAACTACAACTTGTCTCAACTCTTACGCATCAAGATGCTCAAAACGTTGTTCCAAGTTTTAGGAAAATTCCCATACACGTATGAGTTATTCTGTCAGAAAGCCATACCATGTGCCCGAGCTTTCACATGGAAAACTTTCATGTGAAATATCACTCTGGAATTTGAAAAGGTTTTTACTGCAACATAAAAACCACTGGCATAACTTATTTCATGGAGAATAAAATTTGGCTTTTCCTGTCCAATAAGGCTCTGTGACACCATATCCTCACAATTTTTAACAAGTTTCAATCTATAGCAAACAAGAGAAATATGTTCTGTACAGGTTATTTGTTAAAGGTGATCATTTTGAGTCCAACAAGAAAATCCAGGAATTACAATAAAGTCTTTATATATCAATTAATATATCCTAAACCTTTAGAGGATCTTTTATTAAAGTCAAAATGTGCATCAAAGTACATGCTAATGACTAATTACCTTTGATGTGTTGAATGAATTTTCCAACCAAAGAAAAATTGTGCTGTTTCGCTCTTCAGCTAATCAATTTGTGAACCTTTGGCCAACACATCAATCAACCCTCATTTTCGGGATGAAAATAGGCAACTCGTAAATGTCACGAAACGTCATCAAACACTGGCTGCTCGTCTTTAACATCTGAACCTGCTAAGCCATTTAAGCTTACCGGTACTTTTGTACATTAACATGTAAAAATGCAGACCTCTTTAGATCTTACTTCTAAAATGCAACAAAAATAAACCCAAGAAGACAGACATTTTAAGAATTAAAGCCAGCTTTCAGACATTGGCTCCCTCTGTGACCTCTGAGCAGGCACCCCTACGCCTCCATTTAGTCCTCTTCCTTCTCTTCCGTAGTCTTACCAGGTGTGATCATTCTTCCTGACACATGTCTATCCAGCCAAGAGAGCGCCATGGCAACTTACCTTATCCGTGAGGGGCCAGCTGGTAGCCCAAACCTGAGAGAAAAGCTGGGGAGTCAGTGATCTGGGGCGAGGAGACTGTGCCTACCCCTGATGCTGCGTGTGACACAGACGAGCCTTAGCCTCTGCTCAATCCTCAGAGGCTATATAAGGAATGTAAAACTACACCAAACTATTTCAGCCCAACACCCACATGAGTCACAGGGAGAAGGAGGGTGAGGAGGGTTGCTGGAGGAGGACCGGGAGAGGTAACGTCAACTGCCTTGAAATTTTGGCCAAGGGCCTCTACGTAGACTTCTTCTACGCCTTTCTTCTGAAACTACACTTGAAAACCGGCAGACAGCCACGAGTTAAATAAAACTAATGAGAGAGTGCATTCTTCTCCAAAGGAACGAGATGTATTACAAACAAACCCGCAATTACATTTCAACTTCTTAAAGGAACAGGGCCAGCGTGGTACGATTGAGAAGTGAAGGAACCGTCTGCTCGCAGATAACTTAACAATAATAACAGATCATTTAACACGAGTCCTTGTAGTGTAAATAGAAAGCTGGAGGCTTAATACAAGTAAAACATGCAAGCAGCAATAATTTTGGGTAGAAATGCACCGATCAGACTTTTCACGTGAATAAAAAAGAAAAATGTCTTGAAGTCTGATAGAGGTAGTAATGCTGATTTCAAAAGAATATAAACAAAATACAAGATTATCTCTATTATTGTATTACAGTACAATGAATTTACTGTGTTATAAAGTGTCCTGTTGGGGCACTTTATAACACAAGTCAATGTAATTCATCTACAGACATACATAAGCAGTCCAATCCAATTTATTAAACTCTAAATAGTGCATAATGTCACTTTTACAAACCAAAACTCAAATGAGAGTTGTTAGTTTTGATGCAGATGGTTTCAAAAAAAGTTTGGATTTTGTCGTTTGGGTTTAGTTTGAATTTGTTATGCTGATCACTGATCAAGAGAAGAATGGCTCATGTACATCTCTGGCCTATTTGTTTGGTGCATCTCTAATTTCAAGACTTCTAATTGTTCATTCACTTGTGCATGATTAAATTCTAGATTGCATCAGCATACGTTTTAGTTGCAAAAACTTGAGGTTAGCATTTCGAGACAATGTGTGTCAGCAGCACAGATGGCTTCAACAGCAACATCCTGGTAACAGAGGTCACATTTCGCTTGTGAGGCCATCACATAGCAAAAATGATCATTCGGTTGTTAATCACCGTTTAAAGCTTCAATCTTCATTAAATGCAACCTTGTGAAGGCAAAGCTGGGAAATTAATCATCCAGCTAATGTTGAAATACTGAAAATCATAACCTAATATTTGCAACATATTATCCTAAAACAAAATGTTACATTATATGGGGAACTTGTTTTGTTTTGGGGGGTTTTTTCCTCCTATACAGGGAGTTTATATAGCTACGTTTCAATTGGTTTTAAGAGAAGTGCTAATTAAAGATCATGCTGTGCAGACTCAGAAGTTTACACTCACAAAAGTACAGGAAGTTGTACTTAAAAAAATAAAAAAATCCAAAAAGCTACAAAACGTCTTGAAGAACAACCAGGCAAAGCCATAAAAGCTCATTAGACAGCACAACACACCCCGCACAGTTACTAACGCTGCGACAAAAAGTTAGTTTAAAAGTAACGTCGTACACAAGATACCAAATACAGAGACCTTTGAATTAGCTTACCTCTTGTGCCTCCTTCTGTTCGCCGGACATAGCGAGTTATAAGAGTTGCGAGCGATAAAGAGCAAAGTCAGTCCTAACTTTGTAGTTTTCCTCAGAGCGGAGGTCAAGAAGCCGCAGCGAGTCTCCCTCCTGTTGAGGCACAAATTTATTCCCTCAAAGTCTTTCCAGCAGGACCAGTCTGTGACGTCACATGTCACGTGGTTTGGGCTCGTTGGGCGCGCGCATGTCAGCTCGTTCACCGTCCAGAGGCTGTCGCAGTTCCCATTGTAAAACCAGATATGTCTTGTGACGAAAAAAATTATATCAACACATAGAGCTGGCTTTAATTATTGACCAAATGTGTGGAGGGAGAAAACCGGAAATAAATTCAGAGGCCAGCAATGTCACGAGCACAAACTTCAGTCTATTTGCGCATACTAATTAAAACAAAAAATAGTTTTCAACATCTTTTAGAAACAAGTAAACTTTGACAAGCATCTGTTTCGAACTCCGTCATCACGTTGTCCCTGAATAAAATCCATTGCAGCCAGTTGCTTTAATAGATCCCTTCTAAAGATTACTAAATAGAGTGCATGTGTATGATTTAATACAATTTTTATACAGAGGCCTCAGAGATTTGGCAGAAAGAAAGCATTAGTGAAAAATCAAACTATCATCTAAAAATTAAAACCATATGGTGTAACTGCGAACCATCTAGGAAATGGCTGAGTTGGGGGGGCATTAGTCAGAGAAGTAGCCAAGAAGCTTGTGGGAACTGTGGAGAAGCTTCACAGCTCCTCCACAGCTGTGAAGGAGCTGTTAAAGTATTAAAGTTTAGCTTTAATACATAAAGTTAAACTTTATGTATTAAATTGATTAACATGAGAGCAGCAAGGGGTGTGTCAGTAATTCAGTGAGCAAGAAGATTAAAAGTCCAGAATACGCTTCACAGTTCCTATGTGGTTGTGTGATGTCAGTTATGTCAATTATTATGAACAACTCTCTTCGTGAGATTGTTTTACAACGATATTGTTTTCAATTGGAGGCTTCGAAGAACCTGAGATAGTATAAGTTACAAAATACTTTATTTCCCCTTTTGAACTAACGAAGTATTTTCTGAATTTGAATGCTCAGAGTCCGACTCGCTGCTTGCACCGAGACCTCACCAGCAACATCCTTCTACTGTGAGCTTCACTATCTATTCAGTAATGCTATTTTGTGACATTTTCACCACCCTCTCTGGGTGTTTTTCTTGTGAGTCCACTGTGTCGTATATTTTCAGCTAGTGGTACATAATAAACTGTATTAAAGAGCACGCAGTGTCATTATGTGTAACCTCATTTACATATTAAGAACAATCTTGAGATTCTTATTCAAGTTACATTTATCTTTAGCTATATTTCAAAGGGAGTGCTGTATAATCTAACTTTGTTGCAGAGAATTAAGGGAAGTGACTATTTAACAAGGTCTTAAACAGTAACACATTGTTACATATTAAACATTTGCCAGATCATGTGTGGTCTCCAATTTCCAGAGTGGTTAAGGTAACAATAAAAAAAACAAAAAAACTTTTAGGTTTCTAGAATAAGTTCAGTTCTCTGAAGAAAGAAGCAAACCAACAGCATGATGCTGCCACCACTGTGTTTCACTGTGGAAGTAGTGTTCTTTCTGGTGAAGTTGAGTGTTTTATACCAAATTTACCTAAGAGGGGGCAACATGGTGGCACAGTGTTTCCATATTTTCTCCTATTGTTGAAGTTAGTACCGTCCCTTGGTGTGTGTGTAAGTGTAAAGAAATACCAAGCATGACAAGTTAAGTTTAATATTTGTTTTTTTTATCTGATATCGAACCCTCGTCCTGCAGTTCCTAGTTCAGCCAGCAGATGCAGACAAAGGCTAACAAAACAGCAGTGGTACCCTCGGGGTGCTGCCCTTCTTCCATCATCACAGTGGACGAACAAGTGGAGAAATCATGAATCACCAGTGAGGGCCTTACATTGAAGCCTTTATTGTTGGTTGTAGATAGCTTAGTTGCTGTCTCCATTAGCTCCTGTAGCGTTTTTGAAACGGAAGCTAGGACAACGAGTTACATTTTTTTTTAATAATACAACAGAACTGTTCGTTTATTTTGTGTGTGTGTGTGTGTGGCTTCAGCGTCAGCTAGCTAAACCAACTAGCCTCAGTTAAACTTGCACTTTTTTGTGTACTATGGCCGACAACGGGGCGCATCTGGCCGAGGAGGATCCTGCGGCGGCTTTCCTGGCCCAACAGGAAAGTGAGATTGCGGGGATCGAGAATGACGGAGAAGGGTTCGGGGCGCTGGAAGGAGCGGACGACGTGCAGCCTTCTCAGACTGCAAACTATGGTAAGTTTGGAGTTGAACTAACGTCCGCTTGATGCTAGCAGGCTAATGAGCAAACTGGCTAATCTGCTTTATGGCAGCTGTTACGAAATGATGTAAGTTTAAGATAAAATGCCACACCTACATAGGTCCGTAGTAACACAACTGGCTAATGTAGTAAGGAGGTGTAAATGATTTTAGATTACGAAGAAGATACAACTATTGATAAAACAACTGACAAAGCGTTAGCTTTTTAGCATAGTACATAGCCAGGAGTATGTTTGTTTAGCTCACCTGCTCCGCGCGGTTTATATTTGAATAAGCTTTATTCTGAGGGTTTTAGGGCGACCCACAAACACAGCGAAACATGCAATCATAAAATTATCAATTGGTAAAAAAATTGTAATTAATACATAAATATAACACGCAGTTTTTTAACCTGTGATAACATGACAAAAAATGCCATGTTATCTAAACTCAATTGAAAGTAAAATCTAAAAATGATCGACGCACAAATGTTAGGAGTAATCATTGTAATGTTTTATCCCACAAAGTTTTGTTGTTGGATATAAGCTGAAGTGAAAATTAAATAAGTAGCTAAGAGAGTTCCTTTAAAAATGGTCCTGCTTTTAAAAGTCATTTTTACATGTCTGAAAAAGCCTTTTTTGGGGGGGGATTATTGGCTGAGATCTTGTAAATAAAATCGTTGTTTCTGACGTCATGTTTTCAACTTCAATTTAAAATAAAACCTTTTAATCTCCCATTACGTTTGTGTATTTAAATGTCAGCAATGTGAACGTGATGTTAAAAAAATAATTCAAATTTCATAATTTAATGCAGCAGCACTGAGTACGCCCACGTTTGCATTTCAGTCTGTAAATGCATAAAAACAAGTTCTCTTTTTCACTTTGTTTAGACTTCAAAGAAATCAGATAAAACCATTATGCATGAATGGGTTCAATCACAAGACAATCTCCTTCTTTTTTTTTTTCCCAGGCATGAAAACATAAGTCTCAGAATTAGACACGTCACAGATCTCGATTCTTTTTTTTTTCTTCTTTTTTTTTAAATGTATATATACCTGAAAATCCTGTCTCGTTTGCCAGCAAAGCAACAGAGCCGACAGCAGCGCCCAAACAGGTGTGGCAGCATTTCTAAGATCTTAACAGTTTCAAGACCAAGAGCCGGTGACGGTTAAGAACATTCAGTCGGTGAAGTTACAGCAGAGGAGACGACGGGATTACTGGGAAAAACTCCTAGAAACTGTGTTTAACTTTAAATGTGTGTGTGTGTCTCTAATCGTTATGCTTGACGACTTTGAAGAGGAGCCTGCGACGGTGAACGGAGACCTGTTCCAGGTGAGGTTCTTCCTGTTTTTGTGAGCGTGTGATTTACCTGAACCCTATCTAAATAGCAACATTGGAAGCGGTATTGGATTTCTGATTGTTTGTTATTTGATCGAAAGGAGTCTAATGGCCCAACAGACAGCTATGCAGCCATCGCCCAGGTGGACATTCAGAGGCAGGAACCAGAAAGTTTGCGCAAGTGGAAGGAGGAGCAGAAGGCTCGCCTCGAAGCATTAGGTAGTAAAAGATGATTACTTTTGGTTCTCAGTATTATGAAATTTTTTGAACTCGTGCATAAAACATGACGCTTTTCTTCTTTTTTTGGTGGGGGGTTGTTTCACCCTGTAATAAGACTCGGCTTCCAAGGCAGCAGAGGCAGAGTGGAGAGAGAAGGCCAAGAAGGAGCTGGAGGACTGGCATGTCCACCAAAACGAGCAGATGGAGAAGAATAAGGCCAACAACAGGTGAGAAAGAGCAACACTTAACCCGTTTGCATACAGAGATGTTCTTGTAGACAAGTGTCTCTACAGTAAATAGGGTTGATTCAGATTTAATACTCCATTTTTGAGGGGAGATTATTAGAAGAAAATGTTGAATATGTCAAATCAGTAGAACGTTTAAATATTTTATTAATGGCCTTATTTTACTTTTCTTTCTTTTTTTTTAAGAACTGTTTTGCTACTGCCAAAAAAACTCTTGGTTTCTATGTTTTCACATGTGTTGTAGCCTTTCCTTTTCTCGTTCAGGCTAACTAGATCTTTTCTCACCACTTTCCAACAGACTCTGTCCAAGTCTGGCACGGTATCACTCTGCATCTGTTAGCTGTAGTGTTTTTTTTTTGTTTTTTTGTTTTTTTTCAGAGCCCTGAGAAGTAATCCTCTGATGAGAAATTAATCCGGAACTGTCCCGTTAAGTTTAAAAAAAAAAAAAAAAAACTGCCTGGAACCAAAAAAAAATTCCAGGAAGTAAATTTTTTTTTCAGATTCCAAGGAGCAGAGCCCATTTTTCATCCAAAATACCACCCAAAGGGCGGTTGAATCTTCTCAGCTTGTTGACTCCTGGCAGATTTGTTTTGGACCTTTTTAAACTCTCCTCCATCCTTTTCCCCCCCAACTCATCAGAACTTTCTCTCAGCGCTTATAAATCGCAGCCTAACATTGCTCTGCTTGTTGTTGTTTTTTTTTTATACTAAAACTGTTCTCCTCTCTCCTTCTTTTTCCTGCTTTCTGGGCCTTGCCTGTGCACTAGGATTGCTGACAAGGCTTTCTACAAACAGCCCAACTCTGATGTTATAGGCTTTGTGTACGTTTAGAGTTCTTGTGCTTTTTAATGTTGTACGCTCTGCCGCCCTTTTACCTGATGCATGCCTCCCCGCAACCTTTAGCTTGTAGTCAGATTTCAGTAGATGTTTTTATTATTTTTACGTTCAGATCTTTGCAGTGCATCTCAAAACAAAAAGGGAAAAGTAAAGTGTACGATGCACGTTAAGTGAGTAGCAGAAAGTATTCACACTCTTTACACTTCTTCACATTTTGTCACATTGCAACCTTAAACTTTTTTTGTTGTTGTTTTGGGGTTGTTTTTTTTAAGTGTGGCTTGCCTTCGTATTCAGTCAGAACTATATTTTGCTTCTGTTACAGCTGCTTTTTGGAGTAAAATCAAAACGTTACTTCTAAAGCACATTTAAAACAGAGCTGACCAGAGGAGTGTACAATCATAAAAAAAAAGAATATTAAAGGAAAAACAGTTACGAGACAAATAAAAATAAAAGAACATATTTTAAAAATACTTAAAATTTGATATGTGAAGTAAGACGAGGAAATTAACCAAATCCAGGAAGAAACAACTTAGTTGCCTGTCAACAGATTGTGAATCTCTGTTGCTCCTCCAGAGCAGATTGGACGAATTGTTTGTTTCCATGATTAAAGTTCTTCTTGGACAGCCAAGTTTTTGTGAGTTTAACAGCGCCGTTTGTTTGTCCAAAAGCTTGGGAGATTATCATTATCTCTAGCCAATTTTAAACAACTTCATCTGTGACTCGACTGCTGTGTTTGTCTGTCCCAAAGGGAAATTAAATGTTGCATCTCATCTTCAAAAGAGTTGTCGTGCATGGCGATACTGCAGGCAGGAAGAACCGTGGGTAGCAGTCAGTCTTGCAACTAATCTGAAGAAACCTCTGACTGAACACTGTCGCTGTCATTACAGTTTGGTATTCAACAAAGTATTTCACAGTAACATGCCCTAGATGACACCATCAGTGCTTGCCACGCACTGCTAATCCACCTTGTTTTTGCTGCTCCGACTTTAAATTTCTGTCTGTCCGTACGATTAGAGTGCCAGACGGAGACGTTCAAGTCATCTCTTCCATCGATCAAAACGTCCTTCTTCTGCTCTCTAGTAATTATCTGAGCTTTCGAGGTGCTAATCGGCTGGTCCCAGTGGTTAAAGACGATGCTTTGTCGCCATGGTTACACATAACATCCGTCCGAAAGTTAAAAAGTAAGAGCAGAAATTCTTCCTGCTACAGAGCATCTAAAAACGACTCAGTCAAAACAAAAATTTTGAACAGAAGTCTACAAAAAGAACAAATCAGAACTTGCCTAACAAAATGCTGCCACCATGTAATTCTAGATTTATAATAAAACTCTATATTAAAATTGTTACACTGATGTTTTTTACAAATTGGGTGACTCGGGGGTGTGGGGGGAGAAGAGATTTAATCCAAATATGCCACACTATTCAGATATTTTCTGGCAAAACATTTCAATAACCTTTGCATCCTTCTCCTTTAAAATCCAAGTAAAGTACTTTAATACTTGTAGTTGCAATGTGATGAAATATGAAAAATTCAAGCGCTACGAATACTTCTGGAAGGCGCCGTATGTAGAGACGTCAGTGGTTGTAGCTTGCATCGTGTGACAAAGCTCAGTAGGCGAGCCGGTTTTCACCCTCTTCCCCCCACACACCATCTCATTTTGTCTCCCTCTGGCTGCGTCCCGCAGAGCGTCCGAGGAGGCCTTCCTGGCAGAGACCGACGGCGACAGCCCGGGATCCGAGTGGGAACGAGTGGCGCGCCTGTGCGACTTCAATCCCAAAACCAGCAAGCAGGCGAAGGATGTCTCCCGAATGCGCTCCGTTCTCATCTCTCTAAAACAGACACCTTTAGTCCGCTAGCCGGAGCACTTCGGAGAATGTCCTCGGCAACATCGCCTTTTCGGTTTTAGCGACACGTTGTATCCGAATGATTTTAGTTCCTTTTCCAAAAGAATTCCCTGACATGTTAAAAACCTTTTAAAACTTCCTGCCTTTCTTGATGCCTATATATTGATATACTTAACCTGAGGCTGCTGTGAGAAGACGGACTGCTCTGTTACACCTTTCTAGTGTCTGCTTTAATGTCACTATACTGAAGAAAATACTGTTACTGTAAGTAAATGGTCACCCCCCCTTTAACTTATAATTTTTAGGTCAACTTTGTTTCTACCAATATTTTTGAATGCCTAGTTTTTATTCATTCTTTAAATTAACATTTTGGTCAGAGACTTACTAAATGCAAACTAGATTGTATCCATTTATGCCTCTCATCAATTTATAACCATGAGTCACAAATGTTCACATTTCATTTGGCATGAAATCACTAATTACTTTGGTTCTAGGTAGCAAACATGTTTTGTTTTATTTCACAGACATACGCTTGTGGCCTTTCTGATCTCGCTTAGAGTATTAAGCCAGATAGTTTTCTCACTGATGAGGCAATTTTTTTTAATTTTTTTTTTTATTGCAAAAAAAAAAAAAAGGTTAGACTCACAACCAAAGACATCTGCTACAGTCTGAATTTAGAAATTAAAATTTGCACTTTTTTTGTTTCGCTTATCTTTCTCTCCATCTTTGTGTTACACCAGCACACAAAACTTTAAATACAGGTATTCATTTCAACAGTGACGTCTGCACATTGTTCACATGTTGCCTATTTGGAAATGAACAAAACGCCGAATGTTTAAAGGGACGCGGAAAATTAACAACGGGTGGAATCTGCAGATCACTTAATTTTAACTTCAAATATTCCCCTGCTGAGCTTGTTGCCATTTCATAAACCTTGGAGATGATCACTTGAATAAAGTCATCTGTAGCCCAGAATCCCTTGCATATTGTCACACCTTTCTTTTGGGGTGTTTGGGGATTTATTTAGCACGTAGGGCATAAAGATGAAGGTAAAATCTCCAACCGTACAGAAAGGTTTCAGATCCATTTCTGAATGTTAAAGTGCCTTTGCATTCTCAATGTGCTGTGAAAAAGTACTTGCCTCCTTGCCTTAGCAATTCCCTGTTTTTGCTTTCTCCCCCCCAACACCCCCCTGAATATCTGAATGTTTTAAGTAAAATTCAAACATTTACATCAGGGTTGCCAACATCCATTTGTGGAGCTGCTTTCCTCTAACATACCCAAATCAAATGGCTGAAATCCTTTGTCAGCAATCAGTCAGGCTTGGTAACAAGCTACTTGTTTGATTTTGCAAAAGGGGCGAATATTTTCTCACAGCACTTATAACTCTAGATGTGGTTTCCGGTAAAAGTCCAGAGACTTTGACGGCATCATTTTAAAAATCCTCCCAGAAAGACCCTTTTTCCACGCAGCATAATCAAAAACAACACAAATATGGCTAATTTTATCAACAGAAGAAACATTTAATGCAAAGTTGAAAAGTCTTAGCGCCATTAAACCAATTTCCCATTTGCTTACTTGAGCCGACGCCGCTTTGCTGTTCCGCACAGCCAATTCTTAACAAATATTCACATGTTAAGAATGTTTTCTTAAAAAAAAAAAAAAAAAAAAAACTATAAATAGGCTGTGTAACTGAACAACATTGGCTATATTACACATCATTCAGTTATTCAGAGGCCAATTCAACAATGGATCTGGTCTGAGTCCAGAGTGAATGGATACTTTCAGGAAGTGCGAGATTCGTTCGTTTTCACTGCTTGGGTTTCAACGATGTGGCAAAGATGCCAACAATGATGGCGAATACGGTGAAGCCTTGAGCGAAAATACGACCCCTCATCAGCAGCTGGGACTGTCTGGTTTTTCCTTGGTGGAAGGCACGAAGACCATATATCAGCGCTCCGGCTGTTGCCGCACAACCTGAAGAACATAAAGGATGGGAGAAATTAAATATATAAATATAAAATATCTGTATTCACAATGCCAGAATCATGTTTCACTGCAGGGCTTGTGTGTTCAAGGATTGCTACATGGCTATCTATCTTTTTCCACCACTATGTTGGTCCATCACATAGAATTCCAAAGAAATGCACAAAGATTACACCTTCACAATATTAGAAAATCTTCCATAGGCAATAATATTGATCAATCCTCCAATCAGTTCTGATAAATATCCATTTTCTGCTTTCTTGTTCTCATCTGTGCTTTCATGACTCTGTGACCTTCAGTATTTTTAAGCAATGTCATTTGTGTTCAGTGTGAGCATCTAGCCCACTAGCTAAACATTACGTTAGCATGGAAAATGCAAGTTCATAACACTGGGAATACAGCAGCCAACAGATATACCACACAGAGATACTGCTATTATGACATATTGTGTAGCTAGAGATACGTTTGTACCTCCTCAAGACTTTTAGTTCAAAGAACAAAATTTAAAAAAAAAAAATTGTATGTTTGGGAAAACAAAATGGGAAAGGCAAAAAAAAAAACTACATATAAAAATGGCTTAGCAAAACATTAAAATGTTTTAATAGTGCAACTTTGCTTCAGGAAGAATAAAATGCAATCATAATTTTCGAATAAATATATCACTTCAAATACATGTAAGGTTCAAGGTACAGTCATGTCTTTTTTACCTCTGATTAGTATTCCTTACAAATCATCCAACCATTACCGTGTGTTAGCACAAAAGTTGTTTTATGGGAGTAAAGAGTGGCCCTGCTAACAGTGTCAGTACCGAAACGTTGCACTGAAATATTAATTTATAGTTTTCTAAGTTTTGTGACTTACTGGGCTTTCCTTGTTTCAACTACCGCACTTTACACAGCAAAGTTGCACTGTCATATTAATGTATGTAATGGGAAATAATTTCACCAAGCGATAATAGAGGACATAGCGTAGTACACTTGTGTAACTTCCGTCTGCAGTGTCTTGTTTGTATAACTCACCTATCGGAACGAAAGGATTCTCCTTGGTTTTCCTCATGAACTTTTCCTTAAAGCTCTCATTTTTGCCCAGCGTTATTGGGGTAAAGCCTTCGATAACCGGGGCCTGAGACGGGTCAAACGGAACCTGCCCTGGTGCCTGCATTTTAGGCGCTTGATCGGGAACCGCTGGAGTTGCTGCCGCCGCCATGACAGTGCTGGATCGCTGACTAAATAAAATCACTTCCGGCTGCACTTTCACAATAAAAGTCTGGTTGTTTATCAAGAAGGAAAACAAGGGAAGGTCATCGATAGTAACATCTCTTCCTTGCCCCTTCCAAGTACCAAACCCATACATCGGCTTGCAGTCATTGTCGTGGCCATGATTTTTTTTTTCTTCGATGCTACCAGACGGGCTGCGGATTAAAAATTATAATAATCACACTTTTTTTTTTTTCCTAAACTACCTACAAAAAACATGTAGAGACATGTTATGGCTAAATTTACACCAACACCCGCCGCCAGATGGCAGTATCGTACAACTCCAATCCTGTTTACCACTGGAAGTCAATAAAGGCAACAGACATGAATGTTTGGGGCCTGCCCATGCAAGGCATGGCAGTAACCTATTGTTCTACATCTAATAAGCGATCTCTTTATTATTATTGGGGCCTGCCCATGAACAAAGACTTGGACTTCCTCGCCCAAGTCTTTGTTCAGTTTCTTGGAGTTGTCCCAAATTATAATTTTCCTCCCTCGCCTCCAAACCTTCCGCTAAACACGTCATCGTTTAGGCTTTCCGGCCCACCTCATCATCCTTTTCCCCTTTTTCAACATTGATCCCATCAATCTCTACTTCAGACACGCTGGCCGATCAAAAGATGTGTCGCCCCCATCATAACGTAGAAATGAGATCAATTGGCCAAAGCGTATTTAAAACTATGACATCTGTTGAGTGGGGGAATGTGAAGGAGGAAGAGACAAATAATGAAAAATGAAAAACTTAAAAGAGAAGCACAATCTAAATGTCTGCGGTGGAATTTTGAGAGCAAGTCCTGAACAATGGCACATCATGCTTCATTCTGCGTGTCATGCATAATTGCTTTTAGATCCGTTCCTATGGAAATTGTGATGTTCTTTCAGCCTGGCAAAAAGGGATGTTTCATCACCTTTGCCTCTTCAGGTTTTGGCTCACCATTATGGAGTTTGGATGCAGTGAGAGGCTCACAGGGGACCCAGTTGCTTGGGCTTCACAGGACAAACCACACAGCTCAGGAGAAATGGGGACTGCAGGAGCTTCTCTGAGAGACCATGCTCATGGTCACAGTCAAAATTAAAAGAATCGATAGCATTAAGAAATGACTGAGCCATAGGTGAAGTAGGACAACAGACATGAATATTAAAATCACCAACAATGAGAACTCGGTCATACCTTGGCATGATATCAGCCAAGAAATCAGAAAAGTCATTTATAAAGTTTTTGTTGTACTTTGGTGGTTGATAAACCACCGCACACAGCACAGTGTGAGAACTGCCGAGTTCAAATAGGCTAATCTCAAAGCTAATCCCATAGTAGTTGTTTTACTGTTTACAAGTAAAACAACTTTTAAAAACTGTCACTATTCCTCCACCGGACCCCAACATCCTTGGAGCATTAACATAGCCGCAGTTCCGCGGTTCAAGTTCTTTAAAAATGCTGGAGTCACTTGTCCATGATTCTGTTATAAATAAAACATCCAATCAATGAGAGGAAAAGAAATCCCTAATGACCAAAGTTTTATTTGTCAGCGACCTGGCATTTACCAAACCGATCCTGGCAGAAATTGGCGGGTCTACACCATCAGCTGGCGTCCAGTACTCCCGGCAAAGAGGCCGCAGGTTGCTAGGATTCACTCTGCGTCTACAAAGCCGAGGAACGCAGGGGCCCTCGGGGCAGTCACCCCCAAACTGGAGCAGTGGCTAAAACAGGATCCCAGGAACAGCATCAGACATCTCAGTCCGGAAATGTGCAGTTCTAGGCACAGCAAAGATACTGTGGCTCCCAGGCTTCTCTGGTAGAGGACCCGAGCTCAGAGGATGAAAGAGTCCACCTGCAGAAGGGTGAGAAGGGATTTTTTAATAAATATAAATATATATATACACTTTGTCTGAGTATCTTCAAGTAGGTTTGATTTTAACTAGTGTTTCACCTTGCAGTAAACTACATTACTTTTTTTCTTATGTGCACAACTATCAAATGTTTCCCAAATACAATGTGACCCCAACACTGAAACTGTGAGTTTCTGTAACAGTATATGTTGAGTAACTGAGGGAAATAACATGAACATGCAATATTTAGGACTCTCTAACAAGCACCATGATGTGCATTAGTGCTCACATCCCATAACTATTTCTAGCATTTGCAATGCTGCAGCCACAAATTCC